AACGCAACGCCACGACGGGCGCGCAACTGATCGTTTTTAATGACGATACGTTCGGACTGCCACCAATAATCACCAGACGGCGTCGCGTAAAGCGATTGGTCAAATCTTGGCTGAGTTCAAAATCACCGATGCATGACTGTCGTAAATCAGTGGCGTACGCTAATCTGGGGTCTGTTGCTGGATTACCGTACGCCAGTGATTGCGTGATAATACTGGCGTTCGCTACGCCGCGCACAAGTTCACACCACTCGATTAACTTTACGCTAGCGTAAGTCGTTGTGTCTGAACATCCTCAAAGGTTATAACTCTGGCATCGACATTCTAGGCGCACGTGCGTCCCTACACGCTGAACGTCACAAAAACCATAGCAACCAGACCATAAACCGTCAGCGTACGTGACGATTTACCCACGCGCGTGTTAGTTGCCATGTTAGTCGCGCGTCGTGCGGTGATTACAAGGCCTAATGATATTTTGCACTAACATTAGACTGAAATATATTCTTCATTTCAACATTAATTTTACCAAAATTGTGGTGAATTGTCGTTCATGAGACTCACTTCGCAGAAAAAATTAATAAATGGTCCGTATATACTCCAATGTTCGTCCTCGGCACCTTATGCCAACATTGTCAAAATGACAGATTAATGTTACATAAGAACATGAAATTTTATAAAATTCGTAAATTTTGAATTGCTATAACTTTTCATTTTCTTGGTCAATTTTCACAAATCAAATTGCAGTTTAATAGAAGCATTTAACAAGCTCGCGGTAAAATAAAATCAAATGTAACAGACATTGCGAAGTACCCAAAATTAATGAAATAATAACTAACACCATAAAACGAATGGCACGCATAGACTAATAATTGACGGCTGTACTCGCAACTAGTACCGGATTGTCGATGCCACAGTAAAGATCAAAGGACTGTACGCACGCGCTATGTTCGAGAGCGGAGATGTGCGTCCTTTTGTTGAATTACCTTGGTTTAATATTTCTCACGACGGCTTAAGACTGTCCCCGACGATAAATCGGGTCGGGCTGCGTCGGCCGACGCTGTCTGAGTTGGCCTTAACGCACACAGGGAGTGGAGTTGTATTCGTCAGCTGACGGTCGTTATGACCGTTGTACGACGCAGTGAGTGCCCGGCTTTAGAGTTGAATGTATGTTCTAGAAGAATATAGCATGGAGAACTGATTTTGCACATGCGCAGACTCAGCTATAATGTGACAACAAAACCACTTGACAATAAGTTTATTTATGACGACCATGAAACATTTCGTAAATGAACTAAGTGAGATTAATTTGTTAACACGGCATTTTCATTTCAATTAATGACGGCCCACAAGATTATGGTCAGCAGGACGAAGGCACCACCTGGATATCTGTCTTGAAATCACCAGAGTACAACAAACACTGACAGAAATCACGGGGAATTATATTTAAAAATCACTTTGACTAATATATAAGCACCTACAAAGGAAAACTGTCCTGATACGTAAAATAAGTTTGATTGGACATTTGTTTTTTGTTGGCAGACTATAGTGTAATGACTAAAGTAGGGACAATTGATATTCTCGAAATCAAAATTTATTTAAAGCAATATATATTCCCAACGCAGTCCTTTCAGTTCTATTAAAATTATCTTAACATGAATATAAAACCCAACTAAGTTCGTGTTTAAAAGATACACTGCTACTTAATATTACGTTTGTTAATGCTTACTTTACATATTTCAATACGTTATTACCTTTTAACTGAAAATACAGAGAGAAAAATTTGCTCGCTAATAACAGATGTAGGCCAATAACACCACAGTCTTTGCATATATGCCATTAAATTTCTAGCAGAAAATATAGGTATTTGCGTAATTGTATTTCTGATCTATGACATTGTTTTTATTAGCAATTCAAATTTCAATTTCCTTTTTAGGTAGGCCTATATTTGTTGGGAAGTTGGAGTAGGAGTATATCTTATTTTATCATGTAAAGAGATTATAGGCCCTACTCCCCAGCACGAAGGGTCAACCTATATAAAGATTGTTCAAATAAATAAATAAATTGTTCAAATAAACACTCTGTAATAAAACCTAAAAAAAAATCCTCCTCAGCCATTCATTGAACCTTTGAATTGCTCATTTAAAACAATCAGATAAATTAGCAAAGATTCAAAAGACGCAGATCGAACAGATTCTTGATTAATAGTTAAATACTATTAAAGTACTAAATCATTAAATCCACTGCCAGCTAATTTATCGGTCTAAGCAAAGAACATAATAGCCACATTACTTATGCGTCTGTTAATTGACGAGGACACTAATTTCTCCTCTAATTTTCAATTGGAAGAAAATTTAATACCGAGATAGCTAAATGTTATTGTTCAAGATAATTAACTAGCTGCACACAAGTAGTATACAGATCTTATTTAAACAAAAAGTATATTTGACCGGCTATAACTTAATTAGTTTACATAATATTATTTGAATGGTGCCACGATGTCAAATGAAAGGATTGATTAATTGATTGATTGATTTACACCTCAAATTTGTCAATTCTTGAGTTTAGGAATGGAGTGCGCCCTCACAAGTAACAAGCTGAGTAAACAAATAGACATTTTATTGGGCTAAATATTCAGTGTCACATTTTATTGTTGAACCCATAACATTGGCCGCCGCGAGGGGGATTTTTCCCAGCGCCTAACTGAAAAAAGTCAAAGGGGCTTCAAGAAAAAAATATTCCTAAAATTACAGTAACAAATATCAGAGTTTGGTATCTAAAGAACCAGTATAGGCCTGATGGGGATTTGCTCCTGTTTTTGTACATTAAGCAACAGTCTGCATTAAAATCGTCAGTTTAATAATAATATTAATAATAATATTGTTTTATTAATTTACATTTCGCAAATTCCATTTTAAATATATGTACAAACGCGCATTACAATAAAATAGACAGAAATACAAACTTACAATATAAAAGAGATAGTTAAAATTATGAGCAGCTATACAATTCTTACAGCACATTACAATAAAAGTTATACAATAAAATTCAACTTAACACGCAAGTTAAAATTTATATTAATGACATCGGCAACAATACAGAAACAATATCATTTAAAAACAATAATTAAAATATGAGTAGATTTTTTAAAATCTATTAAAATTTTACCATCAATGATATTTCGTATAAGGACTAGGCCTATTTGATGATATGAATTCTATTGATACCCAACCCTAACTGTTATCCTTTGGATCTTCATCTTCTTCCATTTTATTCCTTACTTTTTATTCCAAATTATATAAGAAACCATAATTTAATAAAGTACGTGTTGCCTTTTAAGTGAATTGATTACTAAAGCCCTGTGAAGACCTTAAAATTTAATTTGACAAAAACATGTGACATACCTAAATACGGTCATGGTGACATCAACATCATGACTATATATAGGCACATCATGACTATATATGGTTATATACCTGAGCTTTACTCTTGCAAGATAAGTCTACGGTTTCGATAACCTCCGCTGCTACTTAACGTAACTGTATTGTTTTAACGTCGATCGAGGATCTACAACTCGGCTACAAACATTCCAATCTGCACAATTCCTGAATGTTAAACATATTTTTTGAACAAAAAAAATCCATTTAGGTTTGTAATTACATCTAGAGTAATTTAGTAGAGCTGTAACTAGTGGTTGGGATACCATGTTTAAATATTAATGAAACTCATGAATATTCGAATAGTTTTTTTCTGGTACTGGTACTGGTACGGACATTTATAATATGCCTCTTCCTTTAGGTTATAAAGCGAAGTTCTTTTCCCTGGTCATTCACATGACTTTTATTAGTACATCTACATATTAATTAAATAATGTATTAATTCACACAAAACTCGTGTTGTTAATACTTATAATTATTAATAACAACAGTTTTATTATAATATACATCTATGTAATACTACATACTGATGTACGACATAAGTTTTCTTGATACATTCTTGGTAATTAAAAAAAAAACCCATTATAAGGCTAGTGGTTCGTTTACTAAATGAACTATAGATAGAATAATCCTATAATGTAGATACACAACAGCACTGTAGCTCTGCATTCACGCGGAACCGAGATAAACTTGATTTGCCGTTATCTTAAATATTCCATATTGCATTATGATTTTAAAACATCATTCTTTTTGATAATTTATTGCATTATCTTAGAGTTCGGATGAAACAAGTTGGGCACATTTGTTTTTACAGGTAAATTCAGTTTATGAGAAAATATTATTTGATGGATACAGTGTGTGTTTTGGAACATGTACGTCTAGTGTCGCAATTCTAACATCTTCAATAACGTTTCATTAGCCGGTAATCATCTATCAGGTATTATAATGCTTAAATCAAATTATATCATAAATCAAATATAAACTATCACAAAGACGTGACCTTAGAATTAGAAATCTATAAAAAAAAAAAATCCCGTTTTATTGAGGGAAATATTGTGGTCCGTCCGACATTTTTTCTTGCGATTGTAGGTTATAACTTGTGATTACGAGTTCCATCACGTATTTAGGATCACTTATAAAAGGGTTTGAGGAACATATTTGTTATAGAAATTATCGATAAAAGATAAAATATGCAAACGACAATATATATGTAGAATTGATAAGAAGTCTGTTGAATTGGGAATTTGTAAATGTAGCAAGCAAGAAGTACGAGCATATTGCACAAGAATTGCATCTGATTTAAATGGCATCCATAATCAGGCCGAAAGATGATTCTATCGTTTGAAATGTTTCGCTAACAGATACGGTACACGCTTAATTTTAGTCTTATTTATATTTTGTTATATTCATCAGAGAAAATGAGACTGAAAAGCAAACGAATGACGTAATTATGTTGCTGGTACAAAAAACTAAAACGCTCGCGCTGATAGTCTAATTAACATTGCAGCAGTTTGGTCTCGCGTTACTAGCTTCTTATTCCGCCGTGTAAACGGAGCTTAAGGCTATTTGGAAATAATGTTGCGATATCTTATCGATCATCATACGAGTGGAGAACCTTGTAAGATACATCAGAAGTTTGCTTATTAGCCAACCATTGAAGTAGACCGTGTATTTCGTCATATACACTCTGTAGCTAAACAGTATACATATAACACCTGTACCAGTTTTTAATCATATCGCTTATCCCGGTACACTGTAATCAGTATCAATTATAATCAAGCGGTGAATATCGGTATGAACAGCTCTACAATTACTCTCGGATTGTCAAAACTATCAGTTGTGAGCATGCGCGGCGATAAGTTTCAGGCTTAAGCCGCTCTCACGAATATCGAGCTGTGACTGTTATGGTTATTGTGTATCTTGGCAGGTCTATGAGTATTTGTTATTTAGTTTCACCTCGGCATAAAGGTTTGACACACAGATTTTACACATATTATGACGTGATACTGAGGCGGTGTCCGTACAGATACGTGTTGCGTCGTAGTAGAGGACGCTAGCTCAACCAGTCTGTTCAAAAGCATTGGCGAGGTACAGAGTGCATGTGTAGAGTATTATAACAAAACTTATGTCTTAATGCTTCCCGAAAACTTTTGTCCTCTCCCAGAGCTCAAGGCTTTGAGGTGTACATAGTTGTTTTTGTGTTTTGCCATCTTATTCCTCGTTTTTCCCATTTTGAAGTTGTCCAACTGCAGGAAATATGGCTTTTCACATTCATCTGAGAACCAGCATTATTATTGTTTTCATCGCCGTGTTTTTTCCTGTAGGTAAGTATTGATTCCATTTTCTTTAATTATTTATTTATAATGGTCTACGCCAAAAGGTTGCAGTTAAGTAACAAAAATAGCGATTAAATATTTAATGATAATCCCATATATACCAATATATATTGTGGTGTTGAGAAAATAGTAATATTGGCCTTTAGCGGTTAGTAAGAGTTATTTATAATTCTGATATTATTATTATTATTATTACTAAATAGCTCAAAACACTGATTATACAAATTCAATCGGAGAATATATTATTATCTTTGAGAACACTGTTACTCTTTCAATATCAAATTATGTAATATTATATATAATATTAATTTTTGAAAATAAAAACCACTCCATCAGCGCACTTATTAAGTTCAACCTTTTTGCATCCAGAAGCCAAAGAACAGATTTGATTGGGTAAAAATAAAACGAGAAATATAAACTTATATTTTTACGGGAAATTTATTAACAAGTCTTGGAAACAGAGGTGGTGGCGGTGTGTCCAAATAATGAAGGCTTATGTGATCGTATTGCTTGCGTTGTAAAGCATTGCCTAGCGTGTCTGTCTCTTATACACATCTTATAGGGACAAATGTATATAAAAATACAAACTATACATATTCTTATGTCATGAGTTTGAGAATGTATGTCAACAGATTATTAAGAATTTTAAAAAAGAACAATATAGGCCTATTTAGATATTACCAAAATAAAGCGTTGTGATATCAATTATGAAAATTATAAGTTCAACAATTTTTATAAATAATTTAAAAAAAATATTCAGTTTGTCTTAAGTCATTGTCTTTAGAATGTTTGTTATTTACTTCGGCATCTGTATTCCTTTTGTTATTTTTGTTAATCATATCATTCATGCAATCATCGTTTTTATTATTATTATCATTTAGTTATCTGTCAAACTATTGGATGCCAAATATATTAAACAAAAACTCTTTATTAATTGTTCAGAAATAGCTAAATAGTTTTCGATAGAGGGTATTCTATAAATGCTTATGAATTACAACATGTGCCGTGTATACCTGGATAGCGCTCTGAAATAAAATTAAAAACATGGCAATTAAATCTCTCATTCTAATATAATGTTTCTTGGCAGCTGTTAACTGAGTAAGACCTTATTACACAACTGAATTCAATCAGTAGCATATGTTAAAACATAAAACGGTAAGACTTATTGCTAAAAGCCAGTCCGTCAAATATATTAGGCTTAGGGTGCATTATGGGTAGGAACAATTACGCCTCATGGATTTGGATAACTTAAACCGATAGTGGGCTACGTTAAATTTGTCTTCGGTGGGTCATTACAAGCATCTTGTTACTAATCAGATTCAAGAAATTAACACAGAACAAATTGATCGTAAAAGCAATGAGTACATTTCTCATCACGGTCTGTTGAGCTACACTTCCTTTTAATATAGAAGCAAACAAAACTCTGTAGTGTTCACAGTAGTTGAATTTATCGGTAATTTAAGTTTTGTCCACTCTAAGAAATGCTAGTTCAGTAATCTAAATGCTAATTTGTAAGATGAACTAAACTGCTAGATAATATACAGTTGCGAGATGATGACCAAGAACTTGGAATCGATATTTTGGATGACTGCTAGGCCACCAATCAAGGAGAACAATTTACAGACATGTTTGTGTTCTGACCTGAACAATAATTTCAGTACTGCCAGGAACTGTACATTTGTATATCCAATTACACTGCTGTTCTTGTGAACATAAACAGTAACTATAATGATAGTAAATCAATTATATAATTCGCCTCGTTGTGAATATAATACTATAAAAGCAGGACTTGGTTTTAATTAATTTAAGTGTATTTCCACATTAGTATTTGGAAAATCTACATCACAGACCCGCATAACAATCCCCTCAAAACTGACTTGACAAAGCGTATACTACACAAATAATATTCTATTGTTTGCCATGATGTGCTCCTTGTTTTGTCACCGTTTGTGTTATTGTTTGATACCATCGATATCTTATTAATTTATCCTGTTTATGTCATTTCATTTCATTGGTTTTTTTTTTGTTTTTTTTTTGGTGTTTTTTTTTTTTTTTTTTTTTTTGAGAATGATTTGTCAGTCCCATCAACTATTCATCCCTCTATCGTTAGCAACGCAGTAGAAAATAGACATAGATTTCTTTTCCTCTCAATTTCTAGAAATTGAGCTTGCACGTTCCATTACATTGTATAGTTTCTTTATATTAAACTTTTATACAATTAAAGTATCTGTAGAACCAACTTCTGAAGAACTCGCGATTACCTTTCAATATTATTATTATGAAAATTCAGCAATTTTCAATTTGATTTTCATAATTAGTCCTATTGAAAAAGACACGCTGATTGAACTTTCGGACGTTATTAATAACTTGTATAATTGATCATAATCAATTGTTTAATACAAATTATTATTAAATTATTATCCCTAATTTATCATATAAGTAACGCATACGCTTACAGAGGCCCAGCTCCGGAATACGACTACCAATGAAATAGGCAAGTATTATTTTAGAAGAAAAAATCTCCCGAACATTTTTATTCATCAATTTGTCTTAACTGTAGTAGTTTTATATTAAACTTTTATACAATTAAAGTATCTGTAGAACCAACTTCTGAAGAACTCGCGATTACCTTTCAATATTATTATTATAAAAATTCAGCAATTTTCAATTTGATTTTCATAATTAGTCCTATTGAAAAAAACACGCTGATTGAACATTCGGACGTTATTAATAACTTGTATAATTGATCATAATCAATTGTTTAATACAAATTATTATTAAATTATTATCCCTAATTTATCCTATGTGTAACGCATACGCTTACAGAGGCCCAGCTCCGGAATCCGGCTACCAATGAAATAGGCAAGTATTATTTTAGAAGAAAGAATCTCCCGAACATTTTTATTCATCAATTTGTCTTAACTGTAGTGCACGCTTTTTAACTTTTAGTCTTACTGAATCTGGGTTATCTTTGAAATGTCTTCAACGATTGTATTTATCTGAAACAAGAAAAAAAAAAACTCTAATTGCTAACCTTCATGTTGCATGCTTTCTTCTTTACTGCATGGTCTAGATCACTTTTTTCCTGCCGTATTTCCAGCACGTTTTTTTCTTTATTATTTATTATCACTTTATATGTATCTATTTACATATACATACATCTGTGATTTTACTATAGCTTAAATTCGACTAGCATTTACAATGCTTTTGTTATCGTTTGTGAAAGTAAGCACAGACCGAATCCACTGCTTACTTAATACTAGTGGGTATATTTATAGGGCATTTTTGCTATTTCCCCTATGCATGGCTTCATTATAGACTCCTCGTCTTCCCCTAATTTTGTCTTCACATTTGGTTCAGTTTATAATCTTTCTGGAAAACAAAATTCAAAAACACCAACTGTTTATTCTAGTGATAATTTTTAAATAAATGATTTCTATCTCAGTTGATCTTCAGTCGAATACAGTAGCAGATACGGTACATCATTCGGAACAGATTTGATTGGGTAAAAATAAAACGAGAAATATAAACTTATATTTTTAAGGGAAATTTATTAACAAGTCTTGGAAACAGAGGTGGTGGCGGTGTGTCCAAATAATGAAGGCTTATGTGATCGTATTGCTTGCGTTGTAAAGCATTGCCTAGCGTGTTTGGTGAGGTCACATAAAAAATGCCATTTTGTTTATTGTTTTTTGTTTTTGTTTACTTCATTAAATAGTTAAGCCGGGAGAGTATGAACGGCAGCTGATGGACGATCTACTTAGTAAGTTCCCTTTTCGGGAATTCGCTAGACCCGCTGTCAACGAAAGTGAATCCTTGGTGGTTGCAATGGGAATGGCGCTACAACAGATCATGGACGTAGTAAGTTTCACATATATAAACTGCATTTTGTTTCCGTACGCAGTAGTCCGTTTGCATGTATATATTTAATATTTCTTCACATTATTTCATTTTTCCTGTATAGTCAACTCCGTTTATAGTCACAAATGGTTACAATATGTTTTCCCATAATTTTCAATTGTGATGTTATTTTTTTCTTTCCACAGCCTTGATTTGTTTTCATAAATGTACTCTGTACAAATCTTTAAATATTATTATTATTAGTAGTAGTAGTAGTAGTAGTATTGATGAAAGTAATATTATTATGCGCTCTCATGCAGCGATCCGCAGGGCCTCCGAATTATAAGGGCCCCGAAGGGGACCTACCTATAGGTTCCTCGACCTAGCACCCTGACCAAAAAGGACTTTGTTGATAAATAACATAATTGTGTCTCTGGAATCGACTGTAGGGCATATATCATATTATAACGATTAAAGAGAGGGGGGCCGTCCGGATGCCACCAAATTTGTCAACAAAAAAAAATAAAAATGGAGATAAAAAGAAAATTATGTACACAATTTTAAGTCTGTGAGTGCCATTTCCGGCCATCTAGACGTGACATCATTTTCTTTTCTTAGCCCCACAGGGGCAACAGCATAACGTGTGTCTAAAATCGACTGCAGGACATTTATTATATCCAGTGGCGGAATAGAGAGTGAGGGTGGGGGGAGGGGAGTTGCCGGCCCAGGTCCCCACTAAATTTTTCAAAATATACTGGAGATAAAAAAAAAATATATTCACAATTTTATGTCCGTGAAGTGGCATTTCCGGCCATCTAATATTCATAAACTTTCTTACCTCAGCTCCAACCATGGTGGGTCTGAGGTGGTATAGACTCAACTGTGAAAATCACTCCCTGGCCTCAATTTTCTGGATCCATATTATATCATTTATTCGTCGTTAAAACATTTAGAATAACAATGCACATCTACAATCAGTAATACACAGGGCCACCATCCCTATCGTGACGCCACTGCACAGTAGAACGTTTTATAACTCTTAAATACATGCCAAGTATTGGTGTTGAAATGGAAATATTACGTAAATAGTAAAATTAATAAGAAATATGGAGTATGGTTTTTAGCGCAAATGTTTACATATAAAGATGCATTTAAAATATTCCCAATCAGTTTTCCAAAGTGAAGATAATACACATAAAACGCTGTATACACATTTACTGTAATTGCACTAATATTATGAATATTCAACATACAGCTATAGTATATGGTAAACATATTTTTAAATGGTCCTCATATCCATACCCTACTTCGGATCTTTACCAAAATTTAAACATTTTTTCATTGCAACATGACAAATTAATTCTGGAAAGTTCCATTTTGATCTGGGACCTAATGACCCTCAAATTCACCAACACTTAATAATTTCTTCCTTGTAACTTGGTTAAACCTTTACAAAAATTTCATTCAGATCAGATGATTCGTTTTTTTAAATATCTGCTCTAGGACGTTTTCCTTTAAATGGTCCTTATATCCACACCCTACTCCGGGTTGTTACCAAAATGTACCTCATCCTTGGGTCCTACCTAACACTCCCTGTAACTTTCACTTAGATCTGTGCAGCCATTTTTTTAATAGATATGTTGACACACACACACACCCAAACTTACAGGACTGAAAACATATATCTCCTGGCGGATATAATAATAATAAAAACAACAAACAATAATAATACTGAGATACTGCTGCTCTGTTTATTGAATAAGATTGAATAAACACTTCAGTAATGGAATCCATTGAAATTTGTCTATAAGCAAAATTCAAAATCCTCAGAAACAAAATCCTAAGAAACAACATAGGCCCACGGTAATTTACATTGAAAGAAGTATCCATTTCATGATAATGACTGAAATTCATGGAATAATAAAAACACACCTTTGTGAACCTGCAATAAACAACCATGCCAATAAAAATAAAACCAAAAGAACGTAAACAATACAGTTGTGAAAAACAAAAGTGATATTCGTCTAACTTTAAAAGACGTGTGGCAAAACAGATATAAAGAACTGATTACCCCGACAAAACATAACTACATTAAAAGTCATAACATTTTTATTGCAATGGCAAAGACCACAATTTACGGAAACGGCTGTGGCGACCCTTTGATGACGTCAGTGAGTCGACTCAAAAGACGTTTCACTGTATTTTGGATAATTCGCCTTTTCTTCAGCGATGTTTATTGAAAGCTTTCGGAAGTCATTTACACAAATTACGCGCCAAGTAATGCAGCCGCTACAACAATAAACTTAAGGTTATAATTTTTGTTTTCTTTTAAAAGAATAATATCTACCCAATGGGTGACGCCTCGAGCATTGTTGTTGCTGGGAACCGATTCAAAATCCTTGGATTATGATATTTCATTTCGATTGAATGTGAATATTTATTATACAAATGTTAAACTATACAGTATGTATATTATGGTATAGGCCTATAGTTTTCATATATATATATAGGCCTATAGTTTTGTGTATAAGAGACAGACTCCGTTTATAGTCACAAATGGTTACAATA